CCCCAATAGCCCAATAGACCTATAGCCATATCGCCCTATAGCCATATGACCCTATAGCCTTATAGGCCTTATAGTTCTAGAGCTCTATAGCCCTGCGGTTCTATAGCCCTATATCCCCATAGCCCTACATCTAGCCCTATATCCCTATAGCCCTATGGTCCTATAGCCCTATAGCCCCATAGCCCTATAGTCTCATAGCCCTATGGCCCTACAGTCCTGTAGCTCCATAGCTCCAGAGTCCCATAGCTCGATAGCCCTATAGCCCTACAGCCCTATAGCCCTATGGCCCTATAGCCCTATTGCCCTGTAGCCCTATAGATCTATAGCCCTGTAGCCCTATAGTTCCCTATACCCCATATGCCATCGCCTTATAGCCCAGTAGCCATAACAAAAACTTTGATGGGTTTTTCTCTAGTATATATATATATGGTTAATGAAGGCTGCCACCAATTTCCGCGGCCCGCCCGGGTGCCTGGGTGCCCGGGTGCCCAGGTGCCCAGGTGCCCGGGTGTTTGGGTGCCCGGGTGCCTTACAGCCCTATAGCTCCATGCCCCTTTTTCCCTATGTCCCTATAGCCTTTTTTGCCCTATGACCCTATAGCCTTATAGCCTTATAGCCCTATCGCCCTATCGGCCTGTGGCTCTATAGCCCTATCGCCCTAGAGCCCTGTAGCCCTATAGCCCATAACACAATAACCCAATAGCCCCTTTATAGCCCCATAGCCCTATAGCCCAATAGCCCAATAGCCCTATAGCCTTATAGCCTTATAGCCCTATAGCCTTATAGCCCTACATCCCTATAGCCCTATGGCTCTATATGCCTATAGCCCTATAGCCTTATATCCCCATAGCCTCATATCCCTATAGCCCTATGGTCCTATAGCCCAATAACCCTATAGACTCATAGCCCTATGGCCCTATAACCCAATAACCCCAGAGCCATGTCCCCATAGCCCTATAGCCCTACAACCCCATAGCCCTATGGACCTATAGCCCTACAGCCCTATAGACCTATAGCCCTATAGCCTTATGGCCTTATAGCCCTATAGCCCCATAGCCCGACAGCACCATAGCCCCATCGCCCTATAGCCCGAAACAAACTTTTATTAGGGTTTTCTCCGGTATCATTATGAAGACCCTTCGGGGTTAGATGGGGTCGGGGGATCGCGCCGCATCGCCGATACGTCGGCGATGCATCGTCGACGCGGGCGATGCATCGGCGACGTCGACGTGGAAGAATCGGGCTCCACATCAAGCCGCATCGGCGATGCATCGGCGATGCAGCGCGATCTCCCGACCCCATCTACTCCGACCCCACCTATGAGGCCGAGAGCCCTGGTGCGGGAGTGCCCCCACCACAGAGCCTCCCAGAAGAGTCGATCAACCCGCGTCTTTTGGTCTCGTCAGTCGAGGGAGGAGCGCGCGCATCCCCCCCAACAAAGTGCGTTCGCGGTTGCCCAGCCAGCCAGCGGGCTGGGCTGGACCCGTAGGGCGACGAGATCTATACACATCCGCTGCTCCCTGGCCACGCTCATCCTGAACCAGCCAGCAGTGTATACGCCACGCCCTCCTGGCTTGGCCAGGAGGGCGTATGCACAGCTGCTGGGTTCAGGATGGGCCTGGCCAGGGACCAGTGGATGTGTATAGATCTCGTCGCCCCAACCCAGCAAGCTCAAGCCAATGTGCGTGGGGGGAGTGGCGGCCCCTGCCAGCTTCTCAAGAGGGGCTGCAGCAGGTCTTCTCTGGGCCTGCGAACGTCTGGCTGATGAGGGCTGGGTCACCGCGCTGGAGGCGCGCCTGCACCTGGAGCGTGCCGCGGCACCAATTTCCAGCGCTGGCTCGGAAGACTCGGGCTCCGAGCTGGACGCTCAGAGCTGGTGTGCTGGCCGGGTCTTTCCGCCGAGAGGCAAACGCAGCGACGGCAACTTTATCCCAAAGCTCCCCGTCCCTCAAATACGCGCTCAACTCGGCCCCCCTTGCCGACACCACCGGGCCCGCCCAGGCCAGCGGACCCCTCGTGGGCACCTGCGCATCTCGCCCGGGTTGAGCTTCCCGTCCTTGTCGACGTCCAGCCTTCGAGGGGAAACGAGGGGCGTACACCCTGCGAAATGCTTAAGAAATCATGGGTTAAGAAATTCAGAGTCTCAGAATTCGAATAAAAAGCCAGACTTTCTATCAACATCTTAGGATTTACATTGAAACATTAAGCATAATCGAGACTCTGGCCAACAACTTAAGTTTTCTTAAGCATCGCCCAGAGTGTAGGAGGGAGGAGGGAGGAGGGAGGAGTGGGCATGGCGGCCGGGGCCGTTCGCGGTGCGTCTGCCTGCGAGGCCGGCGCTTCGCCGCGCGCAGGCGGGACGGGAGGAAGGAAGGGAAGGTGGGTGGATGCTGGAGGAGGGCGCGATGGGGAAACACCTCCTCGGGATCGCCACGCGATTCGTTCGAATCGACGCGCGCCCCCCGCGCTCCGTGGGTCGGGCACGACGGATGCAGACACGTCTGACCAGGCCTGCCTGGCCGCAGGTTCGCGCATCGTGCCGCCGCCCACCGTGGCGATCGCGAGCCGTCCGCCCATCGTGTGCGCTCGCTCGCTTTGTGCCGATTCGGACGTGTTCTGTGATCGTCGCTCCATGGGGTGCTTGACGTGCTCACCACTGCGAACAACAAGCAACAACCCAACGGACCAACACAGCAACAGATAACATGCAGAGACGGGGACAACCACGATGAGTCAGAAATAATATGGGTCATAGATTTACTCGGACTCTGACTGGTCAATGACAAGGCGGGAGATGGCCGTCTCTTCTGCCTGGTGATCACGGCGGTACGTTCAGTACGCTGCGCTGCGCCATCCGCCTGCCTTCAGCAAAGTTGCAAGCGAGCCACCAGCATCGAGGATGTCACGGGCCACTCTGCGCCGCAGAGCGTGGCTCCCCAAGACATCGGCCTCTGGGGTGCCTACGGCTGCAGCGTGGCTTCGCAACGTACGTCTGCAAGGAACTGCTTCTAGACTTAAGGAAAAGTTTGATCTGCCTGCCGGCTTGGCCTCATGCAGCGCGTGCTTCATCCAATGGTACACGCGCAAACTCTACTTCAACGACTCGCAGCAACACTGTCGTCGCAATACACTGGGGCCCCTGACGTGTTTCCGATAATTCAACAAGATCATGAATTCACTGCTGGAACACTGATAGTCCGAATGCTCCCCGCTACTCTGCAAATGTGCAGCCTCAGATGGAGTTCTAAGCAAGAAGAACCTCGAGATGGCTAGCAGGGCGGCTCGTTCCAAGTCCTCTGTGTCCCGCGCGTGGCCAACGACACGTCTGACGTCCTTGGCTGCCAAATCCAGGCGCGGCTTCGGCGGTGGCGCCGCCTTGCGAATGCTCTCCGCACTTGGTTCAACACCTCCATACCCCAGCGGTTCGGAAGGTGCAGGAAGCGGTGGGCCCATCTCAGGTGCTTGAGATGAGTGCAGAAAGTGTCTGAGCTGGAGAAAATGTTCGCGAACTAAGCACTAGACTCCTCGGTAGCCAGGAAATGGACAGCTATGTTCGCTGCGTCGCAGAACGCTGCCCAACACCGAATCCCACCAATGTATGTTGTGGCACCGTGGCCCCCCTGCTGCCGCCAAATCGCCCAGACCCTGTTGATGCAGCCGGGCCTGACACTCATCCATGCGCAACTGCTCGGCCAAATTAGCCTCGTGGCGGAAACTCATGCAAGCATTGTGACACCACCCACCCTGTCCGTTCTTCGGGACTCGGCGCCGGCACCCTGGAAATCCACCAGCACCCCTCGCCGCCAGACACCAAGGGGCCACCGGCCTCGTTCTGCAGGGCGGGCTGGCGCAGCACGGAGCTCTCGAAAGCTGGACACTGGTCTCGTGGTTGAGCAGGGACCGACCGTCCCAGCATTCCTATTTGGACGCCCGAAATGGGTACGGAAAAAATGGGTACAATGCCCAACAACAAATGTTGCCCCAAACCAACAGCGGCCGCTGTTGGGCAGGCGGCCTTCTGTCTCGAATGGACACAGGCCGCGGCGGCGCGGGCAGCGAATTCTGTTCAAAATGAACAAGAACTGCTATTGGGCATTGTACCCATTCTTTCCGTACCCATTTCGTTCGTGCCGATCCTGTAGTCCTACCACGACATGTTCCCAGACATGTTCTTAGAACATTGTTTGGTAGGGCTATAGGCGAACCAAGACGCTCCGCCAGTGCTGGACGCCAGCCTCCAGCAGGCGTCCAAACCCACGGGGGTGCTGCCGGCTGCCCTCCGCACGCCAGGCCCGCCCGGCCTGCCGGCGCCCCGCCTGGGCCCCTGCCGGTGCAAGCAGGGCGGGAGCGGGGAAGGGCCGTGGCCTTACAGTCAAAAACCCTAATGAGGACGCGCGACTTTGCTCAGGGTACCCTCGCGTCCTTGCTCTTCCTTGCTCTTGCGTCCTTGAGGTTTTCGTCGTCCGCCACCCCAAGAATCCCAACTTCGGCTTCCGAGGGTCTTGCGTCCTTACCGCGTGCCCTTATTAGGGTTTTTGACTGTAAGTCGGATCGCGAGCACACCAAAATAGGGCAACGAGCTCTATACACCGACGTTTTCTCCGACCATGCGCCGAAATTCGCACAGGGACGCGGATCCTGGTGTAGACGGGATCCTGGTGTATACATTTTTCGTTGTTTCCATTGGAAAACGGGGGAAAAGTATACACCACACCACCCCGACGTCGTCCCCGACCCTCAAAAAAGTCCTGGTATTGAAAAACCGTCCGCCACTGGTAATGTATATGCTCCAGTTTCCGACAAAAGGAGGCCAAGCTGGCCCAAACAACTCTCAAGGGGACTCTGAGGAAGCACCACAGCGCCCTGAAGTGGAGAGCACGAGCCTGATAAGTTCGAGAACTCAGGCGCTCCTGGAATGCAGCCAGAGCTACTACGGCTAGAGTGAGACTCCGAGGCGCGCTCATATAGGTGCATTCTGGAACGTGCACGTGTGACTGAGGTTACAGGGTGACCCCGCGTACTCGTACTCCAAAACATCAGCCCGCGGTGCAGGCAGAATCACCTTTGCTGACACGAGTGGCTGGGGCCAGAGCGCACGTGGCAAACGATCAAGACGATGATCAAGAGGCGGGAGCGGAGGACGAGAAGGATTGGAAAGATGTGCGCACTCAACTGGATGGCCTTGGACCACCGAGGCCTTCGCCTGGGAAGAAGCACTGGACCCTGCTCCTGATCAAGCCCCGAGGTGCGCATCCGACCAGAAGAGCATAGGCATGGCCGCTCACCAACGCCACAACCACCACCACCGCCACCAATCACCACCGCCACCACCGCCACCACCATGACCACCACAGCCACCTGCAGAACCACCCACGGCCGCGTCGCGGGCCCACCAGCTCGAGGGCCACCGGCGTGAGCGCGGGGAGCTTCGGGCACACGCTGACACGGATTGTGGACCTGTGGATCTGGCGCGTGGGCGCCAGATCCACGGATCGGAAAAAATGCCCCCCGAAACATGAGGTCAGTGCCGCGTGATCTGGCGACGGGGCGCGCCGATCTTGCATGGAAGTGGGACCCGTCGCCAATCCATGCGCCTTAATTGGGCGGCGCGCGCAGGGGGGCAGGGGGAGGGGGGACGGCTTCTTAAAAGCACCCCTGCTTCTTGGAAGACGCGGGCCTTCTCTGCAGATGTGGAGCCGGCGCCTTCTAAAAGAGGCAGCCTCCTCCTGAGAAGCCTCCCCCCCAGGAGGAGGAGGAGGAGGAGGAGGAGGAGGAGGAGGAGGCCTCCAGGCCTCCCCCTACCCCCGTGTGCGCGCCGCCAATTCGTCCACGTCTGCGCTTCCTCGAAAGGTGGACGAGCACGAGCAGCCCGTCCTGCGCCCCCCTCGCAGCCTCTGGAAGATCGCGCTGATCAGCTCCGTGCGGGACATCGCCGGCGGCGGGGACATCGCCGGCGGTCGCGCGGCAGAGACTGCCTTGCTCACGGCCTTTGCGACGGCGGCGCTCTGGGCGGAGAGCTTGGCCTGGATGGTTCGCAGCTCCTCTCTGCGGTGCGGGGCTCACGGGCCTAGCTGCCCAGCCTGCTGGCGCTGCCGCCGCCGCCGCGGCTAATAGCCTCGCTCCCTGTGCTGCCCGCCCGCTGCTGCATTGAAGACTCCCCCCTCGCCTCATCGCCACCGTCCTCGCTGGGCTTCGTCGCCCCCCTCGAGAGGAGGCGGCGGACGAGGAGGAGGTGGGTGGGGGGGGGAGGACGCCGAGAGGCTCCAGGACGCTCCCAAGAGGTCACAGCCAGCGAAGGAGGCCAGCGGCAGCCAGAGCACGAGACCGGGGGACTGGGACAGTCGAGCACAGAGGGCCGGCGAAGGACCCCTGCGGCATACAGGGCAGCAGGACAGGGAGCCGGGGGCCAGCGGGGGACAGGGCCGGCGAAGGGGATGAGAGGGTGGCCGCCCGCTCACAGGACCGAGACAGAGGAAGACGAGGAGGAGGAGCAGGAGGAGGAGGAAGAGGAGGAGAAGGAGGAGGAGGAGGAGGAGGAGGAGGAAGGAGGAGGAGGAGGAGGAGGAGGTCGATGACGGGGCGGGGCGGAAGGAGCCGGGGACGGTCGAGGGACGGTGCCGAAGAAGGGCACTGGTGCTCGCTAGCTCAGCGGGGGCGAGGAACCGAGGAGTGTCGGGGGCAGGGCTGGAGAGGGGAGGCCTGTGGCAACCAGGGCACACCCTGAGATCCGACGGCTCGAAAAAGATGGAAACTCACGCCTGGAGCCCTCGACCGCATCGTCTTTCTGCGCCATTTTTGCCGCCGCATCGATCTGTGAGGGTCCTGGGGCCCGAAACGCTGGCCCCTTTTCTGCTGCCCTCGCGGCCCCCAACGTTTTCATCCCCCATTGCGCGGCGCCCAATTTCGGCCTCTGCGGGCCCTTGCCGGGCCTCGGGGTCGTGAACAAAACGACTCGGGATGAAAAGCCAGTCCCCGGGGAACGTGTCGAGGCCTCTGGTGGCCGACGTTACGGTGAGGGCGTTGGATAAGGAACTCTTGGATAAGGAATCCAGGGTCTGAGAGCTGGTGGAACGCCACTTGAGGCTTGGCCATGGATATCACCACCGCCATCATCAGATAAGCAGTCCCCCAGGGTCTGAAGCCTCCTGGGCACATTCCTTGACGAACACCCCCACCGTGTGCACAACGCACGACGTCGGGGGTCTGGGAACGCTGAGCGCCTTGAGTGCAGGCGCTGCTTGGGGAATACGGCGGGGAACTTTTTTCTTGGCGCGTCGTGGGGCGGTGGCCCGGCGACGCGCCACGTTCCGCAAGCGGGTGGCGTGTCGCTTCGCTCTGCGGTGCAGGAGGCTGGGAACGGCTCAGGATGTTGACGCTTGGGGATTTTTTCCCCACATCCTAAGTGGGGTTCTTGTGTTCTTTGCACACCCTCCGCGCAAGATCTCTCCCCCTCCTCCCTCTCCTCTCCCTCTCCCTCTCCCTCTCCCTCTCATCATCATCGTCATCATCATCATCATCAGCATCATCATCATCATCATCATCATCTCCACCAACATCATCATCATCACCGCAATCATCACCACTCATCATCACCACTCACCCAGCCACCCACCACCCACTCACTCATTCATTCACTCACTCACTCACTCATCACCGTCACTCGCTTATGTCACCCGAGGAAGTCACAGGCGGGAGCCCCCTCCCTATGGGTCCCGCATTTCATGTTGGTAATCCGAGCGGGTCATCGGCAACATGTAACTGTCGCCACTTTTGGGCTCGTCAGGCCTGACTTTAGAGGAAGTGTCAAGCGGGAGCCTCGTCTGTGAGTGAATAGTGAGGAGGTCTCAGGCGGGAGCCCCCTCCCTTTGGGTCCCGCATTTCATGTTGGTAGTCCGAGCGGGTCATCGGCAACCTGCAACTGTCGTCACTTTTGGGCTCCCCAGGCTTGAATTTGGAAGAAGTAAGAAGCGGGAACCTCGTCTGTGAGTGAATAGTGAGGAAGTCTCATGCAGGAACCCCCTCCCTATGGGTCCCGCATTTCATGTTGGTAATCCGAGCGGGTCATCGGCACCCTGTAACTGTTGCCACTGTTGGGCTCCTCGGGCTTGAATTTGGAGGACGTATCAAGCGGGAGCCTCGTCTGTGAGTGAATAGTGAGGAGGTCTCAGGCGGGAGCCCCCTCCCTTTGGGTCCCGCATTTCATGTTGGTAGTCCGAGCGGGTCATCGGCAACCTGCAACTGTCGTCACTTTTGGGCTCCCCAGGCTTGAATTTGGAAGAAGTAAGAAGCGGGAACCTCGTCTGTGAGTGAATAGTGAGGAAGTCTCATGCAGGAACCCCCTCCCTATGGGTCCCGCATTTCATGTTGGTAATCCGAGCGGGTCATCGGCAACATGTAACTGTCGCCACTTTTGGGCTCCTCAGGCCTGATTTTGGAAGAAATATCCAGCGGGAGCCTCGTCTGTGAGTGAAAGTATAAGGAAATCTCAAGCGGGAGCCCCCTCCCTTTGGGTCCTGCATTTCATGTTGTTACTCCGAGCGGGTCATCGGCAACCTGTAACTATCGGCACTTTTGGGTTCCCAGGCTTGAATTTGGAGGGAGTAAGAAGCGGGAGCCTCGTCTGTGAGTGAATTGTGTGGAAGTCTCAGGCGGGAGCCCCCTCCCTATGGGTCCTGCATTTCATGTTGGTACTCCGAGCGGGTCATCGGCAACCTGTAATTACTGGACGTCTCCGCTCTCTTGTTGAACTCCAGGAGCGCCTTCCGCAAGGAAGCCGGCGGCCCGCGCTCGAGAAACTCGCGCGAGGGCGGCCGCAGGATCAGCATGTTCCGCGTGCGCGTGGCGCGGGAGAGCATGACGTAGAGATGCAGCCACCACTGGTCGTCCGACATGCCCGTGCGGCCAGCGTCCTCATCCCTCGCGCAGTCAAGTCGATGGTGACGCCCTTGCGGAGCGTCTGGCCCTGCGACAGCGTGGAAGTGAGGTAGGACGCGTGAGTCAGAGTGAACCCCGAGCGGTGCACGGTGTGCGACCCCGAACCCTGCCACGTGAACTCCTGCTCGCAACTGGAGGAGGAAGAGGAGGGTAAATATAATAAAGGGGGAGTAGGTGAGGGCAGAACGGCGGGCGAGAGGAAAAGGGTTAGGGCAAGCTAAATAAATTCTCATGTGGGGTCCTTCCGTCGGAATATCTTTTGTTAATTTATTTATGTGTTAGAGATTGTATGCACTTTTCGATTTGTGCGTGTCATCCTTGCGCAAGGGCCATGCTAATCTTCTCTGTGTCGTTCAAATTGAACGGATGATCCCAGAAGGGAATCCGAGGGACGTTGACGCTTGGGGACCGGGACGTGTGGTTGGCGCGTTGGGCCGAAGCGTGGTGGGCCAGAGCTTACGGAGCGCCACGCTAAGCAGAAGTTCCCGACCGTAACCTCGTATGTTTTACCGAACATCTCCTGCAATCTGTGCTCTCGATCGCTGGCTTTGCGCGGCCATGAGGGCACCAGAAAGGAATCACTCAACTTCTTCGCAATTTTCGGATCAACGAAACAATCTTCTACATTTCTTCCAGCCGAACAATCTATCTGGGAATCCGCCGACAAACAAGCACGCACAATCCGTAAGCAAGCCAGAGAAGGAGGAGAAAGAGGAACATAGAGAGGAGGAAAGTACAGAAAGGGATCGAGGAGAAACACAGGAGGAAACCATCCTCCCCACTCCCTCGGGCAGACCTCCCACCCGCCGCTGGCAAGCAAGCGTATACAACGCCACGAGGTGGGCCAGCGGCATGCGTGAGCGCTTGAACTCAAAGGGGTCGGCGTCAGAGACACAACGCGTACTACACAGTGGAAGCAAACTCTGGCGACAGCAGGAGCCTGTTCCGGAAGCCGCCGCCCCCCCCAACTGTGGAACACGCCCTCACCAAGCACTTCCCTAGGCGCGTCGGTTTCGTCAATTGAAAGGGGGGAGGCGGACTGGGGGGGTTTGGGGTGGCGCAAAAGGTTGGGGCTCGAGGTCGGGTGATTATGAACAGTAACCCAGAGCCTGTCGGAACGGGCCCATGATGGTCCAGCGGTGCCAGGAAGCCGAAGGGGGGTCCTGGAGACTGGCCAACAGGTTAACCTTAGACGCCTCCGAAACAGCTCAAGTGGTTCCATCAGGCTCCATGGGGACCCAGCACATCTGACTTAGCTTGAGCAGAGAGAGAGAGAGAGAGAGAGAGAGAGAGAGAGAGAGAGAGAGAGAGAGAGAGAGAGAGAGAGAGAGAGAGAGAGAGAGAGAGAGAGAAAGAGAGAGAGAGAGAGACAAAGAGAGAGAGAGAGAGAGAGATAGAGAGAGAGAGAGAGAGAGAGAGAGAGAAAGGGAAAGAGAGAGAGAGAGAGAAAGAGAGAGAGAAAACAATAAAGAGAAAGAGAGATAGAAAGAGAGAGAAAGCAACCATTGAGTAAACATGACTTCTGTGTATGCTGCACTGGTGCAAATCTTTTCCCCTGGAGCCAGGACCCCCCCGCCTTCGAAAAACGTCCGTTCCCCGCCCCCTATTCTGTGGAACGGGGACCCCCCTGTCTTCCTCCCCTGTGGGAGCCCGGAACCCATCCCGCACCTTTGATCCCCCCCCCCTTCTCGAAACTGAATATCGTCGGGGGGGAGATTCGCTCCCCCCTCGCGAATGAGCGACGACGGACGACCGAGGACCGAGGACGAAGACGACGACGACACTGGGCGGGCGGTGCGTGTCGTCACCGTTTTCGTCGTCGTCGGCGACGACGGCGACACCAGGAGGGGGCTGGCGGTACGCGTCGTCGTCGTCGTCGTCGTCGTCGTCGTCGTGCGGGCTGGACGTGTCGACGTCGTCGCCGTCGCCGTCGTCGTCGTCGTCGACGACGACGTCGTCTCGTCGTCGCGTCGCCGCCTCCGTCTCCGTCGCCGTCGCCGTCGTCGTCAACGGCCAACTAGTTTGGCGCGACCCGCGCGGCCGCAGTGGCGCTCACCGTTGGGCACTTCCCAGCGCGTCTCGCAGACCGCGCTGACGCGCGGTCACTTCAATGCGAATCGGTGACTTGGACGGGTGCGGTATTATGGCGACGCCGACAACGATAGACACAATGGTGGTACCAGCGATGATGGTGACAGTAATGACGATGACGACGGCGCGGCCAATGACAGCGCCGATGCTGATCACGCCGATGACGATGATGGTGTTCACGCGTCGGTGATGAAGGTTTTGGAAAGATTTCGACATGCGCGCGCGGCCGGCGCGCGCAAATGGACCGCATGGTCATATTTGACAAGGACCGTGCCCCCCCCAGCACGCGCGCAAGGGCGTTCGAATGATTTCGACATGCGCGTACGAGAGGCTCTTTCGGTCGCACTTGGTGAAAGTAATGAGCACGTGATGGTTGCCTTGAGAATTTGCACGGGCGCGCGCGAACGTTTTATGTGTTCTCGGGGCGCTGGATTTTGAAATCCTTACGAAACCAATGGTTTTTGAATGTTGTCGGCATGTGCGCGCGACGACGCATGCATGTGCACTTCGCCATTTTTTTGCAAGGGCCTCGTACGCATAGAGGAATTTTGATCAAAGGGTGTAGTGTTTCTAACAAGGGAGGGGGGGGGGGTCGACATCGGTTTGGGTCGGATGATATGACTTCGTATTTGACATGGACGATGGGGCGGAATCGTATGTAAATTGCACATCCCCATGGTGGGCGGATAACCACGGGGGGTGGGTGGTGTGGTGGTAGATCCGAATTCATTAAAAGTGAGAATATATGTGGTGAGCGCTACGTTGTGAATTCTAAATGGCGCAACTTGTGCGTAATTCCAATGCGGTGCAATCTATGTTGCGCAATGTTTGAGGTGCTCCATCTATGTCGTGTAACATGCGTGGTGCAATCGATTGTGGTACAATCGATAAAATGCAATCTATGTGGTGCAGTGTATGCTGCGCTATATATGTGGCGCAGTCCGCGTGGTGCAATCTCTGATATGCAACTTACGTGGTGCCATACACGTTGTGCATTCAATGTGGTGCGTAGCATATGTTGTGCAAGCTATGTGGAGGAACCTATGTGGTGCAATGTCTGTTGTGTAATACACGTGGTGCAGTCCGCGTGGTGCAATTTTTGATCTGCAGCCCATGTGGTGCACCCCGTGTTGTGAGTGCAAGGTGGCGCAGTCGTTGTCGCAGCGGCGACGCGGCGACGGGGCGGCGACGGCGGCAACATAGCCGCTAGACCGAAGACGCGGCCCAGACGACGGCCGGCGTCGAGTCGGCGACGGGGCAGCGATGGCGAGGAACTGCAGTTCGTAGTTTTTTTCCGAAAAGCTTGCGCCACATATACATATACCCTGTAACGCCCCTCGCGGGGGTAGAAACCAAGCGTCGTGTTGTCTCCTCCTCCAGTCGTGTTCTTGCGCCAGACGTCCACCCCTGAGGCTCTCGGAAGTTCCCACAAGGCTCGCAGGTGGTCACGCTATACATATACATCGACATACCAGTATACCTTCCCCATGGGAGTGCTTGCGCTCATGGGTCCTTGCTCCGTTCCTCAGGAGCTGGGCCTGCGGGCCGCCGTGTGGCCGCCGCGTGGCCGCCTCGTCGCCGCCTCGTCGCCTGGGACCGCGGGCCGCTCGGGCCGTCACGTGGCCGCCGACCGCCGCCTCTCGCCGACTGCCGCCTCGTTGCCGCCCGATTCTGCAGTGCCTCGCACTGCTTAGTGTTGCGTTGCGTCGCTTGGCATTGCTTTGCATGGCTTTACGTTGCCTTGAGCTGCTTTGCACTGCCTGGCGCCACTGCGCTGCAATCGCACGGCTTCGCCAACGCATTGCGTTACATGGCTTTGTGCTGATTTGCATTGCCTTGCCGTGCTTTGCATTGTTCTGCATTGCTTTGCACTGCCTTGCACTGCTTTTCATCGCTTTGCATTGCTTTGCATTGCTTTGCATTGTTTCGGACTGCTTTGAATTGCTTTTCATTGCTTTGCGCTGCCTTGCATTACATTGCGCTGCTTTGCATCGCTTCGCGTTGCTTTGCACTTCTTTGCATTGCGTTACATTGCGGTGCTTTGCATTGCTATGCCGTGCTGCGTTGCTCTGGACTGCTTTGCATTGCTTTGGACTGCTTTAAACAATGATTTCTTGCAATCTATGTGGTGCAACCTAGGTGGTGCAATCAATGTGGAGCAGTCTAGGTGGCGCAATCAATGTGGCACAGTCTATGTGGCGCAAAGCAAAGCAGTGCCAAGCAATGCAAATCAATTCAAAGCAGTGCAAAGCAATGCAAAGCAATACAACGCAATGCAAAGTCATGCAACGCAATGCAAAGCAACGCAAAGCAACGCAACGCGATGAAACGCAACGCAAAGAATTGCAGGATCCAGGCTTGCTAACAGTTCTGTGTATATATATATATATATATATATATAAATATGTGTATATACGTGTCTTCAGGGGGCCAGGCGTCGATCCAAGAGATCCGCGCGGAGTGTAACACATGCATTATGTCTATGTGATCTCTTGTTTCTCGACTCCCCCACGACTTGGTCCTCGTCCGTGCAGAAGCACCCGGCGTCGCCGCTCTTATCGTTGACTAGCTTCAGGAAGAACACGACGTCCCTGGTCAACTCTGCGTTGTCGCACGCCTGCGCGCTGCCACCCCTCATGCCGGTGGCTTCCGCAAACACCCGCATCTCCTCGCCGGTGGAACGGGAGCGGAGGGAGCGGCCGGAGCAAAAAAAATTGGCAGGAGCCACGAGGTCGCCGAGGAACGACTCGTCCGCGCGCGGAGAGGAAGCAGGAACGGGCGGAAGAGGAGGGCGGATGGGGGGTATGAGGGATGATGATGATGATGATGATGATGATGATGATGATGATGATGATGATGATGATGATACTGATGGTGATGGTGATGATGAAAATGACGATGACGATGACGATGACGATGACGATGACGATGATGATGATGATGATGATGATGATGATGATGATGATGATACTGATGGTGATGGTGATGGTGATGATGAAACTGACGATGACGATGACGATGACGATGATGATGATGATGATGATGATGATGATGATGGCGAGGAGGAGGGGGAGAGGAGGAGGACGATGGTGATGATGATGATGATGATGATGATGATGATGATGATGATGATGATGATGATGCTGGTGATGATGACGAGGTGGAGGTGGAGGAGGAGGAGGAGGAGGAGTCGGAGGAGGAAGAGGAGGAGTTTGAAGAACATATGGAGGATAAACAGGGGGGGAAGAGGGATAATGTTCAGGGGAGGGGGGTGGTGGGCACAACCCAGGCCCAGAACTGCGCCGACCTTCGCATACCCGGGTCTCGCCTGTGTCGGCCAGTCCTCGTCCTATTCTGAAGACGGAGGTGGGACTCTAGCTGGCCCCTCCCTCGCCCTCTGCCTTCTGCTCCTCCTCCTCCTCCTCCTCCTCCTTCACTTCCACCTCCTCCTCCTCATCGTGCTTGCCCTTTTCCTCCTCCTCTTCCTCCTCCTCCTCAGTCCTCCTCCTCTTCCTCTTCCTCTTCCTCCTCCGCCCTCCTCCGCCTCCTCCTCCTCCTCCTCCTCCTCCTCCTCCTCCTCCTCCTCCTCCCCCCACTCTACCCTCCTCCACCCCCTCCTCCGTTTTCGCTCTTCTTCTTTTTGCCCTTTTCCTCCTTTTCCTCCTCCTCTCCTCCTCCATTCCTTAGAAGCAACTTCTCCTTGTCGCACCCCGAGGCTGGTCGAAAGGGCGGGCCGAGCGTTTCGCCTGAGACTTCCTCACCATTAAGGACCCCGCTGCTTAGAAAGTGACAGCTGTTTTACAATTGAAGGGCGGGTGGTTTTAACATCTGACTCTCGCCTCAGCGCCGCGCGCGTTCGTTGAAAACGTTGCGAGTGTTTCACGGATGGAGGGCGGGTGGTTTTCAAACTGTGACTCTCGCCTCAACGCCGCGCGCATTCGCTTGAATATATTGCACGAGCTTCGCGGGTTGAGGGTGGGGCGTTTTCAAACTGCGGCACTCGCGTTCGCATCGCGGACATTCGTTCTGAACATTTGCAAGAATTTCGCGGACTGAGGCCGTTTCATTTTCAAAGTGTGGCTCCCGCCTTAGCGCTGCGCACACACACACACACTCTCTTTTTTTGCGTTTGCAAGAGTTTCACGGATTGAAAGTGTGGTATTCAAACTGTGGCTCCCGCCTTCGCGCCGCCCACGCTCGTTAGATGAATCCGCAAGAGTTTCACTGGACCAACAATTGTGGTTAGGCACGATTCAAGATTGGCACGGTGCAGCCGTCACGTTGACTCGATGTGTTGAAGTCCGAGGAATGGTTTCTTGCCACGGCTCAGGATCACCAATACGTAACTGTCAGTAACTCGTGGCGTTGGCATCCTGAGAATGGTGTTTTGCCGCGCTTCAAGATGTTCACGCGTTTGCCCCCCAATCGGGGCAATCACCTCAGTGGAAATGCCCCGTGTGGGGCCTATGGAGAGGGAATCTGGAGGGAGGGCTTATTGCAACATCGTTGATGAATCTTGGGCTTACACTGATCCTCCTCCTCCTCCTCCTCCTCGCCCTCCTCCTCCATTTCTTGTCCTGATAAAAAGCTTCCCCCTGTCGCGCCCCGAGGCCAATCGAAAGGGCGGACTGGGCGTTTCGCATGAGACTTCCTCACCGTTCATGGCCCTCAAGCGGGCAATCTGCAGCGAATTTCACGGATGGGGGGCGGACGGTTTTCAACATGTGGCTCTCGCCTCAGCGCCGCACGCGTCCTTTCTGAAAATCTGCGAGGGCTTCGCGGATGGAAGGCAATCGGTTCTCAAATTGTGACTCTCGCCTCAATGCCGCGCACGTCCGTCTTAAACGAATCAAAGAGCTTCACGGGTGGAGGGCGGCTGATCTTCGAACTATGTTTCTCGCCTTAGCGCCGCGATCATCCGTTATAGAACTTGCGAGGGGTTCACGGATGGAGGGTGGGTGGAATTCAAAATGTGGCTCGTGCCCCAGCACCGCGTACATCCGTCTTAAGCGAATGCAGGAATTTCACGGATAGAGGGCGGGCCGTTTTCAAAAGGTGACTCTGGCCTTGGCGCCGCGCGCATTCTTTTTAAACGTGTGCACGAGTTTCGAAGATGGAGGGCGGGTGGTTTCTCAACATGTGGTTCACTCCTCAGCGCCGCGCGCATTCGTCTCGAGATCATTGAACAGCTTTAAAGGTTCTCATGGTTAACGTCCCAGAAGCGGCGCTCTGGCATGATGTCGGAATGCCAGGGCGCAACAGTTAGGTTGATTCGCGGTGTTGTCCTAGGAATGGTGTTTTGGCACGATTCAGGATCGTCAAGACGCCACAATAACGGCGACTCGCAGCCTTGAAGTCCCAGGAAGCGTATTGTGGCATACCTCAAGATTTTCAAGCGGTTGTCTTCCAACGGGGCACTTGCCTCAACGAAAAAGAACCCTTGTGCGGGCCTGTGAGGAGGGAGCTTGGAGGAAAGGCTTATTGCAATATCGTTGGTGGGTCTTGGGTGGTTCTTTTCTTGCGCTGGTTACGGGGGCACCGATAGAGCTTGGAACGTCAGGGCCCGCGGTCTTCCGAGGGACAGGCAAGGATGCAACGTGCATGCAACAGGCGCCTGACACCATACCAAAGGGCCTTCGAAATCAGGCAAGCCTGGCCAGGGCGGGAAACAGTGCGCAGGTCTAGAGCTCGGGGGACAATAACGTCGATTGAGGAGGAGAGGGAGGGGAGCAGAGCATCAGCATCAGCAGCGCTCAACGGCGGGTGGTCCTCGTCCTCGTCCTCGTCCTCCTCCTCCTACTCCTCCTCCTTGTCCTCCCCAGCAGTGGGCTCCCAGCCCGCAGACTGCTCCCTGAAGGGTGCATACCACCTGACCCACGCTGGACGACCTACCCCCCTCCTTCCACGATGCCTTCGCTCCCTCCCTCCCCTCCTCCTCCTACTCCTACTCCTCCTCCTATTCCTCCTCCTCCTCCTCCTCGTGGTCCTCTTCGTCTTCCTCTTCCTCCTCCTTTTCCTCCTGTTCCTCCTCGCCTTCCTCCTCCTCGTCCTCCTCCTCGTCCGCCTCCCCTCTGGGGGGGGGAACACGTTCGCGGGGCACCGGCTCAGGGGGGGGGGGCACATCGACCCGAATCGGCGACACGTCGCCGATCGATCGGCAGCAAGCCCCCGAGGGCGAATCCGGACTCTCCGGGGCGGGGCGGAGCTGTCGGGCCCCCATCGGCGGTCGATGCTGGCGGCGCGCACGATCGGGTACTTGGGCACTGCACACACACCTGGCGCACGCCATCGGGGGTGGGGAGACGTAGTCGCAGGCACCAGGCAGGTTCCGCAGATCAGGACGAAGAGGAGCAGGAGGAAGGGGAGGAGGAGCATGGAGGAATATGAGGCAAGAGCAAGGACGCCCAGCTACATGCATTGGCAGCCCCTCCGACTCACGGAGGGGACGGCCGCCAGCCACCTAAGCCACTAGAGGTATACCTCTGGCCGGCGTTAGGCTTGGCCGTAAATCAAACGACTCGGGTAATGGTGACCCGAGTGGGCCTGACGGGGCCATCGTGAAAGTGACGAAGCCCAATCTGAAATTACCCCAGTGCGACAATACCTAGAAGTTGGAGCCCCTAGGAAACCAGCATTAGTTGCTATGCTATGCTATGCTATGCTATGCCATGCTATGCTGCGCTATGCTATGCTGCGCTATGCTATGCTATGCTAATTTAAGCTATGCAGTGTCATGCTGCGCTGTGCTATACTAAGCTATGCTATGGTATGCTATGCCAAGCTGCGCTATGCTATGCTATGCTATGCTATGCTATGCTGCGCTATGCTATGCTATGCTATGCTTGGATATGTTATGATGTGCTATGCTATGCTAATGCAGCGCTGCGCTATGCTAATATAAGCTAAGCTAACCCTCTAGGCAGAGCCTAGGTCGGGAATTCCACCCATGCTAATACTATGCTGCGCTATGCTATGCTACGCTATGCTATGCTGTGCTCTGCTATGCTAAAGCTCGGCGAAGCTAAGATGACGGTAAGCTAAGCTAAGATAAACCTGAGCTAAGGTGAAACTAAGCTAAGCTAAGATGAAATCAGCTAAACTAAGATGAGATAAACAACGCTAAGCTAAGGGGCCGTCACTGGGGGAACCGCGGGGCGGATACTGGGGGAACCGCCCTGGGCGAGGACCACTGCCCGGCCCTTTAATCATACACGGTAAGAACCCTTCTAGGCAGAGCCTAGGTAGGGAACTAGACGCCAGCTCCCGCTGCAAACATCCCGCGAAAACGGGACCGTCAAAGTCCAGGACGCGCTCGTCAATTATCCCAGAGCGACCCTACCTAGGAGTTGGAGCCCCGAGGAGAGCAATATTAGTAGTATCGGTAAACGCCGTTCTCCTCCTTCTCCTCATCGTCGCAGTTGTAGCAGTAGCTAGTAGTAGTAGTAGTAGTAGTAGTAGTAGTAGTAGTAGTAGTAGTAGTCGTAGTAGTAGTAGTAGTAGTAGTAGTAGTAGTAGTAGTAGTAGTAGTAGTAGTAGTAGTAGTAGTAGTAGTAGTAGTAGTAGTAGTAGTAGTAGTAGTAGTAGTGATAGTAATAGTACAACTTAATACCTACATCTACATCTAGACCTGCATCCACATCTACACCTACAACAACATCTACATATACACATGCATCTACACCTACATCTACATCTACATCTACATCTACATCTACATCTACAACTACACTCACATCTACATCTACATCTACACCTACAGCTACACCTACATGTACATCTACATCTACATCTACACCTACATCCACATCTACACCTACACCTACGTCTAAATCTACGCTAGGCTAAGCTAAGCTAAACTATGCTATGCTATGCTATGCTGCGCTATGCTATGCTATGCTATGATTTGCTATGCTGCACTATGCTATGCTATGCTATGCTATGCTGCGCTGTGCTATGCTATGCTATGGTATGCTGCGCTATGCTATGCTATGCTATGCTATGCTATACTGCGCTATGCTATGCTGCGCTATGCGATGTTATGCTATGCTATGCTATGCATTACTATGTTATGCTATACTATGCTATGCTAATGCTGCGCTGCGCTAAGCTAAGCTGAGCTGAGCTAAGCAAAGCTAAGCTAGGCTAAGCTACGCTAAGCTAAACTAAGATAAGCTAGGCTAAACTAAGATGAGATAAGCAACGCTAAGTTAAGGGGCCGTCACTGGGGGAACCGCGGGGCGGATACTGGGGGAACCGCCCGGGGCGAGGACCACTGCCCGGCCCTTTAAGCATACACGGTAAGAACCCTTCTAGGCAGAGCCTAGGTAGGGAAAAAGCGTCGACAAACCCGAGTCCTTGCTTACTCGAGTCTTACGTTTCCCCGAACAAAGGGGGTGGGGAGGGGGGGAGGCTTCTTTGAAGGAGGCCTCTTCTCAGAAGGCGCGGGTCGTACATCTACAGACAAGGCCCGCGCCTTTAAAGGAGCAGGGGTGCTTCTGAGAAGCCTTCCCCCCTTCTCCTGTCCCCCTCCTGCGCGTCGGCGATCAATGGGCGATGGGGGGTCGATGCGTTCCCCTTGCGCCTGTCCCCGCCCCCCGAACGCTGCCCCGGACATTCCCTCCCCCTCCGCCCCTCCCTAAAATAGGGGATCGAACTCCATACACCGACGTTTTCCCCGACCCTGCGCTGAAATTCGCACAGGAACGCGAATCCTGGTGTACTCGGGATCCTGGTGTATACATTTTTCGCTGTTTCCCGGGTAAAACAAAGGAGAAGTATACACCACACCACCCCCAGCGTCGTCCTCGACCCCCACGAAATTCTGGGATCGAAGAGCAGCCCGCCACTGCTAACGTATACGTTCCGGTTTCCGATAGGAAGGTGGCCCCTCGGAGGTGGTCCTTCTGGTTGAGCACGCCGTCCTTGTCGGCGTCGAGCGCAGCAAAGACGGCCCGAACCAGCTGGTCCCGCGACATCTTCTCCAGGTCCCCCTCGGCGAAGACGCCCTCGAGGCTCGGCAGGGGCGGTGCCGGCGCTGCCGCGGAGGGGGCGCTGGCCTCGGTGATCCCCCTTGGTGAGAGCGCACAGGCATGAAGTCGGGCACGTCCCTCCACAGGAGGAATCTTCAAGAATACTAGAAAATAGTCTGGGGACGATTTTTGGACTCTTTTTGGCTTCTTTTGAATCTGTTTCGGCTATCTTTGCTTTTTCGTCTAAAATCCGCCCGTATGGGGGACATGCACGACCTAACACAAGCATCGCTCCCTCGTGGCCACGGCCAGAATCGGCGGCCAGCCAGGGGGGGAAGTGAGATGGGGCGGGCCTTGTCAGAAGGCTCGGAAGTCCCCTGGCCTTCTGAGAAATTTTCGAAGCCTTCCACGAAGGCACAGAACATTCCTCAGAAGGCGCGAGGGCTTCCGAGAAGTCCCGCCGCCTTCTGAGAAGGCCTTCTCCTTCGTACTTCCCCCCTTCACTCGCCGCCGACAAAAAACGATCGGGAGACGAGCAACAGGTCTCTGCCACTTGACCAGGCCGCCCGATCGGGCACATCGAATCTCGATCTACGGCGGCGATCGCTTCTGCGTGGCGTGGGCGCGCGATCGGATAATGTAGCATCAGCTGTTGCTACCCCACACATCTAAAACAACACAACGTCTTGCCAACCATATCATACACAATTAACGACACTGCATGTGTCAAGATCAGGTCAAACCGCGCACGTCAATGCGACGCAAAGCGATGTGATGCAGCATCAGCTGGACAAACGCAACAACCGTGCCAGACTGAACTAACCCAAACCACATCGAAACAAACTTACCCAGATGCGCGAAGTTGAATCACGCCGATTTGACGAGCTGAACTACAGCTAAGCTTACACATGTAATTACCTGGCCAATCGGCAGACGTTTTATCCCGATGGGCACCGACTAGCTCTGGCCACGAAACTGGAACTGCAAGAAAACTGATACGGCAGGATGCCGCGCAGCATGATCCATGGCTTGCAATCGAACCTAGGCTAGAAGATCCTTCAAGAACACGAGACCCTCCAGCGGCCAACACGCACAAAACATCCACTGGTACCCTCCCCAGTGTGCAGAACAACATCCAACTAACGCGAAGAACACAAGGGTACCCTCCCCGAACCGACCTCGATGTTGCACCTCGGTCCGACCGTGTTCGGACACGCTGCCATCCGACCCCAGACACGTGCGCACCCCGCATGCTGCGGACCAGCCCGGCGCGACGTGGAACCAGCTTGCCGCAGGCGAGCCCGTGCCTGACGAGAGCGCCCCCGCGCCACGGGTGACTGGGCTTTGCAGGCGAAGAGGGTGAGGCATCCATCGTGCGTGTCGGGTGTGCTCCTTGTCCTCCCCCGCCTCCTCCTCCTCCTCCTCCTCCTCCTCCTCCTGCTCGTCCTCCTGCTCGTCCTCGTCCTCCTCTTCCTCCTCCTCCCCCTCCTCCCATGCCTCCTTATCCCTTCCATCCTCCTCCTCCGCCTCCTCCTCATCGCTCTCGGATGCCTCGTCGTAAATTCCCTACTGCTCGATCGCCGCAATGTTCCCGCCTCCCGCCGGCCTCATGATTCCTCGCCTATCCCCAGTCCCCGCTCCCTCCGTCCTGCGCCCTCTTCTCTTCCTCACGCCCTCCCCTTCTCCCCTCCTCGCCTAGTCGCCAAGCTCCCTGGACATTCACGTCGATACCGTGACCAGACGAGCAATCGTGGCTTTCCAGCAGCCTCAAGCAGGCTTGCCGCCCGAGGCTGGACGAGAACCCGACCCAGCGTCTATGCAGGCGTCCGCTGCCGCAGCCGTCCCTCCTCCCCTCGTCCCCTCCACACCCTCCTCCCTCCGTCCTCTCTTCCCTTCCCGCCCCAGTCGTCTCTTCTCCGTCCTCCACCCCCATTCTCCCTTCATCCTCCGTCTCTTCTCCTTGCTCCATCCTCCATTCTGCCTCCCCCACAAGCGGTTCCTCCTCACTCCCTGCTCTTTCCCAGCCGAAGCCAAATCATAATTAAGTCCCTCCCGCAGCCAAGCTGGGGAAATCAGGCGATGCAACATGATGCGCTGGTCGAATGTACTGATGGTGACACCTACCGGCCCGCACATAGTCCGCCCCAGACCCCGAGAGGCAAGATCCCGAGGTCGACGTATCTGAGCCTCTAAGTCACGCTCTGGAGCGGGAACCTTCAACTTATCCAGCATACCTCTCAGATCGGCGTCGGTGCAGTGGCAGCCGGTGTCCTTGGGGCGGAAGCGACGGATCGAGGCGTTCGCGCGTGAGCGCAGACCAAATGCGTACCCTTTGAGTCCTGGCTCCTCCCGCTTCTGCCCCCTTTCCCCCGTTCCTCTTCGCCCCTGTCTCCAATATTGTTTACCTCACCTCTTCCGCTTTTCCTCCTTCTTCCCATTCCCGGTCGATCTCCCCCCCCCCCCCCCCTCCGGCGTGCTTTCACTTCTCCTTTCACGGCGCCCCTTCCTCTGCACTTCTTACTCCCTGCCACTAAACCGTCTTTCTCTCTCTCCCTCTCTCTCTCTCTTTTTTTTTTTTTTTGTTTTTTGTTTTTTGTTTTTGTTTTTTTGTTCTCTCTCTCTCTCTCGATCTCTCTCTCTCTCTCTCTCTCTCTCTTCGGACCTGCGCCATGTGTATGTGTACATATATATATACATATGTATATATATACATATAGTCTCTCTATCTCTATGTGCACCAGTGCCTTGGCACGTGGTGGAGTGTCATCAATCCCTTTGAAGTTCCCTGTGTTGAATTTTACTTTGCTTCCACTGTTGCTGGACTGGTGTGCAACATCGAGTTCCTGGTGCTCTTGAGCACTCTCGTGGCGCGATCACATTGCTGATCCAAAAGCCAAAAAGCGCAAATAAGGCCTAACAGCGGTCTCATATGTCCTCAAGAGGGTCCAAGAGGGTCCCACGACGGCCCAAGAGCGCCCTAAGACGCCCAACGTTGCCTTCAAGATTGCCCTAGGGCTGCCCCCGAGAAGCCCCCAGAAGGCTCCAGGAGGCCCCCAAAGAGGCCCTTAAGAGGCAACAGTCGTTGACTTCCCCCCACGGTTTCCGACAGATCTTAGCATTCTCGCTTATCCCGGCTTTCGAAGCGCCCAAGAGGACCCCAAGATCGCCCGAGAGGCCGCAACACGTGCCTCACGACGGCCCAAGAGACTCCCACGGCAGAGCAAGAGGGTCCCAACAGGGGGAACACGAAACACAATTTCAAACCCTCCGCCCCAAGGCGACCCCCGACACCGCCCGCATCCCCCAACAAAAACTTCCAAGACACGCGAGATCCCGGGGAGGCCCACGAGAGTCCCCGAGAAAACACCACAGTGCCTCCAGGAGACTTCCAAAGAAGGCTTCCCGAGAGACCCCGACAGGCATCCACGAGGTCTTTGACCTACAACCCATGCGCGGTGACGGGATGGACAGATTTTGTTTTTTGTTCTCTCTCTCTCTTTCACTCTTTTGTTCTCCCTCTCGTTATATAGATGTATATATGTACCGAAATCCCCCTCCATTCGTTCCCTCTCCCTCTTCCTCGCTCCTCTCTCTCTCTCTCTCTTTTTTGTGTGTTCTCTCTCTCTCTTTTCCTCTCCCCGTCCCTCTCCCACCCTTTGTGTAAACTTGAACTGCATTCGTGCATCTCCCTCCCTCTTGCTATATGCATGTGTACATACACGCGTATGTTTCTGCGTGTTCCCCACCAAGATCAACCTCGGGATGTAAACTCTAGAACGAATATAATCCCGATGTTTCTGGACACGGCGTTCGGTCGACGAGGCGATGTGGTTTTGACAGCAGGGGCCGCGCGGACCGCGCTCACATGGTCAATCTTTGCACAACGAAGAATGAACCTCCGCCAAAAATTGGAACAGAGCGCCGGCCCCGTTTCGGCCCTGAGACCTTTGCCCATGTGCCAAAAAACCGTTGGGCACTGTGGATTGCAGTAGCAGCTGCCTCTAAGTTCGGGGCCATGGTCTGACCCTCCCCCCAAAAAATACGGCGGATAGGCTTCCAGACGCAATCTATAACGCGGAGGAGCTCATCGCGGGCGGCGGCGACCGCTTGCAATGGCGAAACATTCGCACGGTCGAATGAGCAGGCGAAGCAGAGAGGATCGTCGACGAGCGACCTGGACACCTCGTTGCTGATCCCCCCATGGGTCCCTTGTTGGGCTTCCACCGGGGTTCTCTTACTGGGTCGCCGTGGGCCCTCTCCTGGGTTCTCTAGCTGGGCCCCCTACAAAATTGTTCCTTATGTGGCAGCTTTGTAAAAGGATTCCTTGGCCTTGCAAAACTATTATTTTCGTGTTGGCCTTGTACAGGACATCCTTTTGTGGCGAACTTGCAAGGGGATTCCCGTTGTGGCGGCCTTCGAAAGGATTCCTTTTGCGGCGGCCTTGCATCAGCATTCCCCGTCTCGCGGCCTGACAGATTTCGGCGCCCCCGGGGGGAACGAGGCGCGCAGTGGCCGACAGACGAACAACAATGAGAACGCGCAGAAAAAAAACTGAAGCAGATGACGCGAATGTGAGCGCGCTGTAGGAAATAATCGAACGTCAAAGAAAAATCTGAAAACGCAATGGAACGCGCTCGAAACCACAGAACACCTATGGCAACGCAGCGAACGCATTCAATCACCACGGGAACCTATGAAGCACAACAAACAAAACGCATCACATAACACATAACACCATGGAGGACTTATTCATGTACTCATGCTTCTATTTGTTTTCATTGCTCGCATTGGTTTTCATTTTTTCCTTGTCTTCCGCGGCTGCCGAAAACTGACTGGCGGCCCGGCGAAGGGATTTCCTCTGTGGCTGCTTGCCAACAAGATTGTTCTGGTGGGGGCCCCGCGAACATATTTTCTTGTGGCGGCCTTGCGCGAAGATTCTTCTTGTGGCGGACTTGCTGCGATATTACGTCTGTTCCTTTTGTGGCGGTCTCGCGGAAAGGTTCTAT